GGTCATTTGACTTATTTAGGTCCACGCTTGCTGTTGCAATATTTAACCCGATAATAGCGACAGTGTGTAGTCCTCGTGGTCATGAAATGTCAGGAAATAAGAGCATTTTACAAGCATGCCATTATATATACATACATACAAGCACACAACATTTAGTCGGCGTGTTATTTTTTTAGAGAGCTGTAAAATGTTTATAAAATGTTGTACAATTAGTTTTGAGTTTAAACCAGAACCTAAAGGCGTGACCGGGAACAATTAATAAAGGAAAAAATATATTCCCCTACTCGTCACACGCGTATGAATGCATATCTGTAGGTACAACATGTACATACCGATTTATGAGTATCTCAAAATGTACAATCAAAGACAACTGAAACATTTCACGCCATTTTCGTGCTCCGAACGTGTCTTTAAAATGTACACGTATAAATGGTAACCTTAAAACAAATTTCACATTGTTTCCCACTTTCCAGATAAGGTTCAGGATATGCACGATACAAAACAAATATATATTTTAAAAAAAACATAACGTTCGTGTCATTCGTCTTGTAAGTCTGCAATGTGTGAAGCACAACTTCGGAAGAGGATTTGTGATTCACGAGAAACCCACAGATAGATTCTACCTCGTCATCCTCCCCAACACCCTGGGTGCAGTCACAGCAGTGCCCTTGGACGAGGTTTACATCGTCGATTTTTTGTTTAGGTTTAATCTTCAACAAAGTCACCTCCGTCCCGTATAACTTAAAAGTGTCCGCCTCGCAGCATCTCTCGCTCGACGCATGCACAATCCACGCACTATTTTTTTTGGGTTTTCACGACGAGGAAGCAGTGGCCAGGCCTTGCGTGCTGCGGGCGCTGTGCGGCGATTTACTCGCGGGACTACTTTCCCTCGCATCTTCCGCTGCAATAAAGAATATTGGATATATATAAGGCGTGACGTATAGGCGCTGCGTGCAAACTAATTGCTCATTAAACTCTCCCCCACCCTCCACCCACCCTCCCCTCCCCCCCACCTCCCAACCCGACACCCCTCTAAAGCCCACGCCTCTCTCAACCCCGTGGTATCACGTTGTCCTCGATTCCATCCCTTCAATTGTTTCCGTCCAAATGGATAATTATTTTGGTTCACAGTCGAGCGTTTGCGCGCGCCATAGCATCGCTGCAATGACGTCACGCGATTTTGGACGATTTTTGATCCCCTCGTCACACGGCGTCACAAAAAGTCAGACCCCCCCCCCCCACCTCAAATATGACGTCACAAAGCTCTGCCCCCGACCCCCCCCCCCACCAAAAAAAAACACATTTCCACATTTTGAAAATAAAACATGCTTCATATCGCTTTAAACTATTGTCATTGTAAGTGCGTATTTAATGTGGCGCTGCGCTCTGATGTTGTCCGAGTGTTGTTATAACGATTAGCGTTGTTATAACAATTCTATATTTATTTAAAGTTGCGCGTTTTGATGTGACGTCACATTTCTCAACCCCCCCCCCTCTCGTCCCCACCCTAGGTGTGTGACGTCATTTATGGACGGCCCCTTATCCCAGACTCTCTGGGGATTTAATGCGCAGATGTGATACTTTCAGTTGCACAATACGCAAACACGTGACCGGACAGCCATGAAGCGCAAACTGCTTTAAACTTAAGACAATGATTTGCCGTGCTTTTTATATATATATACTGTATATGAAATGTTCGGATCTGTGAACATCGATATAAATAACACTTACACCGTACATGCACACAGGCACACAGAGACTGCACTGGTTATGGGAGGTTAATTTGTCCGGGCGGATATGCGACCTTGTCCTGTAATATTAATATACTTGTGTGGATAATTATCAGTTGTAGTGTGTATCGTTGTATCTATATGGCGTGTGTATACGCTAGTGTGTGGGTATGCATGTCATTAGTTTTATTGAACCGATGTTTGCTGTCAATGTATGCATTCAGAATGTATATTTGTTAAATTATAGTATTTGTATTTGAATGAAGTATTAAGCATACACATCTCTGTATTAGCATAGTTCTCACAAGTGCTGGTCTTCAACTGCTATTATTCAACTCCATCTTTGTGGCCCCTCTGTTTATGTGCTGTGATGAAGGGGTCATTGCCCGAAACGTCACCGATTATATATTTTTAGTTTTTCTCTAAAGGCCACCCAGTGTTGTTGTTTTTGTTGTTTTTGTTGACCGAGTGTGCCGAGATGTGTTTGTTAACTGTGCGTGTGCACCGCGGCCAACGCAACAGAATCAGTACAATATTTATTTTGACTGGAGGAATCCGATGAGCTATAAAGCTCTTTTTCGTAGATGCCCAGCATTTCACAGCATCATCAAATACTCTGTTTCACTTGAAACAATCTACAAAATAGGTTTAACCGAAATTTGTTTTGACGTTTAACCAAACTAATAAAAGCCTCATTGTGAAATCCGTCGTTTGTGTACCAACCATGGTTTACTCCGACTAAAATACAGTCGGAGTAAAGTGTGATCCATGTATAGATACCCCATTACAATAACAAGAGAAAAGTCAACGGGTTCATTTAAAATGGCTCGTTCGGCCTCATCGCCAATCGCTGATGCAACTCTGTAACGATACGGGGCCAATCGCGCTCACAACATTCGATCAGCTGCTGAGTGTAGAATGAGGAGGCATGGTGGGTGTAGGGGTTGGGGGGGGGGTGCTTAACAATGTAGTGGGGTATCTATACACGGATCACCCTGTACCCGTTATACTCGGGATGTCCGTGGGTCGGTGGCGGAGTCCGCTGTGCCCGTCTCTGCCTCTCACGAACGCGTCGAGTTGGGCTGCTGCGCGTTCACCCAATGTCCTTGTGAAATGCCGTAGAAAACAAGTGTTTCGTTGAACGTAGTTTTTCATTGCGTTGCGATTAAATTGTCACGGAATGAACGGATGCTATCCTTCATCGGGAGTTTCAATGGGAATTCAACGATTGTTGATGGTGTAACGCGCGTGTTGATTTCTGATGTTGTGTGTAATGTAGCCGGCTAAAATTGTACTGCACTGTGTATTGTGTGTGTGTGTATATATATACCGCATTCTCTGGATTTAAGATGCACTTGTTTTGCATGTCCTCTAGTTAAAAGCTAAAAGTTGAGGTGGAGCGGAGGAGGGGGGTGGGTGTCTTTTACATGTAATTCCGGTAAGCGCTGTGCGTGCGAGACCAGAACTGGTCACACATTTAGTTGTGGTGCCCGTCCTACTTTCAGGAGCGTCTTAAACATCCGGAGAATACGACATCGTGTGTATATCACGATCACGTGCGTTGTTGCGGGCATTTAATGTCCACCGTGATTAATTACGTAGAGCAATTAAGAAGGAGTTTCAGATGCAAACCAAACAATAATTCACGCTGTCAGTGCGAGTTGAAGTCAACATATTTAATCAACTCAAATACGGTGGGTTTTTTTTACTTTTGTACAAACGAAAGCAAAACGTCACAAATGCAATTTCAATAAACGATGCTCTATTTAACGCCAGGTCATCATCATCATCTGCGGTATAAATAACCTGAACCAATATGGTACGGGCATTGCTCCTCCATTATTTACGGTAGCCTAAGTTTCCAGTCCCAAATGCACACGAGTTTGCATACCAAGAAGCTGGGTGGATAGGTGGGTAGGAGGCGAGGGCAAGGTGATTAGGTAGGTGGGGAAGTAAATAAGCAGATGGGTCAGTGAATAGGGACTTCGTTAAGTAGGTGGGTGGGTAAGTGGGTGGGTGGATAGTTAATTGGGTAGGGGACTATGTCGTCAAGGTGAGTTGGTAGGTGGGTGGGTGGGTAAGTGGGTGGGTGGATAGTTAGGTGACTATGTAGACAATATAAGTTGGTGGGTAGGTGGGTGGGTAAGTGGGTGGGTGGATAGTTTGGTGGGTAGGTGACTATGTAGACAAGGTGAGTTGGTAGGTAGGTGGGTGGGTAAGTGGGTGGGTGGATAGTTAAGTGGGATGGTGAATATGTAGGAAATGTGAGTTAGTAGGTGGGTGGATAAGTGGGTGGGTGGATAGTTACGTGGGTAGGTGACTATGTCGGCAAAGGTGAGTTGGTAGGTAAGTGGGTGGATAAGTGGATAGTTTGGTGGGTAGGTGACTATGTAGACAAGGTGAGTTGGTAGGTAAGTGGGTGGGTAAGTGGGTGGGTGGATAGTTTGGTGGGTAGGTGACTATGTCGGCAAGGTGAGTTGGTAGGTGGGTGGGTGGGTAAGTGGGTGGGTGGATAGTTTGGTGGGTAGGTGACTATGTAGACAATGTGAGTTGGTAGGTGGGTGGGTGGGTAAGTGGGTGGGTGGATAGTTTGGTAGGTAGATGACTATGTAGACAATGGGTGTTGGTAGGTGGGTGGATGAGTAAGTTAATTGGGACTTTGGTGGGTCGGTGGGTAAGTGGGTAGGTGGTTGGGGAGTAAGTTGGTATATGGGTAGGTAGGCAGGCGAGGTGGGCAGATTTGCTCAAGGACAGGGAAATGTTAAAACAGCACAATGATTTTTTGTTTCATTCCATGATTAAAATGTCTAAAACTTCCGTTCATTCACTCTTTAAGACAACAAAAAAAACCACAACACAACTGCGGCTAATGCTTAGCCCTTATAAAGTGAACAACACGTACAACATTTGGGCATTTTTTCTTTTTTACACCAACAAAAAAATACGTATAAAGTTTTTTAAAAAACACCACACTACTGTATGTATATACATATATCTCAATTACAGAGTACATATGTTTACACATACACGCCATGATATATGTACACTGTATTGTATATATAGATATACACCAGTGATACAGCGTACATATATATTTCTAACACATTTTTTTTTACATAAGCGCACTTTTTTTTACTTAAATTGACGTTATTAACAATATCATTATCATCATCATCATTACACAATTGCTATGATACACGTGGGATGGGCATGGCTCGCTCCATCCCTCACTCGCTCGCGTGCCACCGGTGTCTATCCGTCTCTTTACGATGTCTATCTACCCTACACCATGTGTGTGTATGTGCGTCTCTCTACGTAATTATTATTATTATTATACGCTAACCCTGGCGTATTTCAACAGCTGCCTACCGTCACGGGCCGGCGCGGTCTTGTAGCGGGCAGGAGAGGGCAGCTCGGCGGCCACGTGATGAAGGGCAGACAGGGCAGGCCCACCGGCTACTGCTGCTGCCGCTGCCCCACCGCTGCCCTGGGCAGCCTGCCAGCCCGCTGCGGCCTCGGGCAAGAAGCCGGCGCCAGGGTGGCCCGTGTACTGCACGTAGGCACCCGCGGGCACCTGAGTCTGCGGGGTCCCGTACGCGCGCACCCCCTGAGCCGCAGACACGAAGCTGCTCACGGCCGGCAGGGACGCGTGGGCCTGGGGGGTATAACGAGGGAGGTGCGGATAGGGGAGGGGTAAGGGAGGGAGGGAGGGAGGCAGAATGGGCGACAGAGAACACGGACACGGTGGGGGGTAGGGGGGGAGATTGAGATGGACGCACGCGTCTCTGTGTGTGGGGAGCGGTGGCACAGTGGTTAGCCAAACTGCGCTACGAACCGGGCGACCACAAGTTCTAAACCTGCTCACGAACCAATGTGACGGACATTTTAAACCGGTCCTGGGGCTCGACGAGGTTGACTCGGCGTCAAATGAAGTACTTGGCACGGTGTGAAAACATCAGCACGGGGCGTGGTGCTGGCCACCCACCCCCTCGTGTGCCGTGCCGGCCTTACTAGGTTCTCGCAAACAGCCCTTGCCCCACCAGTCTTTTGAAGGCTACACCGACCGGGGGAATCTGTCTTTGGGAGGGAGTTGACAGATTAGAAACTTTTGGGATTGCAGGCGAAAGCTGCGGGGATCATCCGGTGGCGAAGTCCCTCCCGTACCGCGCTACGATCCTGGCGAGGACCAGGCTTCGATTACCGGCCAATTGGAAACATCAGCGATGGTGATAACTGAACCTGTCTTGGTCCTCCCCTAGGTATGCTCGGCCTGAAACGTCAACATTAGGCGCTCGGGTGTGTCTGCTCTCCAAACCATGCCGTCGTGCCGGCTTTTCTTATTTTTCATCGGTGCTCGCTAGCAGCACTTGTCCCTACAACGGCTTGTGTCGGCTACACGTGGGGCCCTTTTGTCTTTGTTGGGGAGAGAGGGTCTCAGGCGGAGTCGTCATTATCATTGTCCTCATTGAGCCTTGTCATCGTCTTTTCATTAGCAGGTGATTCAAGGTTGAATCCATTGTCACAATATTGTAATTAGAAAAAGTCATGAAGATGTAACTTGAGCATCATCATCCGATTAGCAAATCGGACAACATATTCTCATTGGCGAATTAACGTTGTTCGATTGCGTCATCACCATCATCATGGAATCATGATAGGTCACGGACATGTGATTAATCTGCCACCATGATGACCCGATTAATCAGCCACCAAATGCCGAGTCATCGTCATCCAGTGATTGCCGGATATGGCTGCAGGTTTGGTCGTACATGTTGTGTGTATCGTTTATAGTTAAATTTGAATCAAAGTTCCTATGATTACTGTTGTTACATTGTATGTTATAGCTTTATTTTGGTGATTTCGAAAACATGGTTAAGCCATGCTTCTTGCGGAAGTGCGGAGTTGGCCTGATAGCTTGAATCTAAGTTGTCTTATGGTTGTTGTTGTTGTTGTTTGACTTGCATCACACTGGAATTTTTGCACAGAGCGTTGTAATATGGTGTTTTTTTCTGGAAGATATTGCGCGTCGTCGCTTTAAGATGTTCTCTGTTCATATTTTGTCTGTTGCGGTGGCATCCGACTCAAGAGCCACATGGCTCACAGGGCTATGCCAAATAAATTAAACTTGAAAACTTGACAAGACGGTCAGTGCGTCGTCACCTAAAAGCTCCCAATGCAGTGTTTGTACAGATTCACGTGTTTAAATCTCGTGCCGCGTGCCACGTGCGCACCACCGATCGATGCGAGAATCTTAAGTCGCGTACAAAATACAAAACACGCGATTAAAAAAAAAGCCCCCGCCGTTCTTTTTGCGGCACTGCGTACGGTACTTGGTGAACTTTACGAGAACAAAAACAGCAAAGGGCCTGGATTTAACGAGGTCCAGAAACAACTCCCCCCCCCCCACCTCCATCCCCCCTCTAACCGAAACTCACAATCGCCCCGCGCGCAACTCCTACAGACAAACATGCGAAGCTCTTCTATTGCTACCGCACTCGTCACCAGCAGGCATGTTCGATCCACTGCTGGATGACGGCCTCGCCACCACCACCTCTTCAGAGTACCAGGGTCCTCTCGGACACCACGTCACTCATTGGCTGGCACTCCGCTACGATCTTCGAGGAGACGCGTCCTGCCTAAAGCCCTCTCGTGATGAACGCGCTGGGTCACCTTTGAGAGTATCGACTTGAAAGCAGAGCTCCGCTTAGGCCTGGGCACTGCTTGTACGCAGGGCCGCCGTGCATAGGCAAAAGACGGCAGTGCAGTAACACCAGTGTTTGTACTGTACTTATATGATCCCGCGTATATACCCCCCACCCTTCCCCCGTCTTCATCAACCCCCCCAGCCCCTCCCCCCGTCTTCATCAACCCCCCCACCCCTCCCCCGTCTTCATCAACCCCCCCCAGCCCCTCCCCCCATCTTCATCAACCCCCCAGCCCCTCCCCCGTCTTCATCACCCCCCCAGCCCCTCCCCCTATCTTCATCAACCCCCCAGCCCCTCCCCCCGTCTTCATCAACCCCCCCAGCCCCTCCCCCCGTCTTCATCACCCCCCAGCCCCTCCCCCCGTCTTCATCAACCCCCCCAGCCCCTCCCCCCGTCTTCATCAACCCCCCCCAGCCCCTCCCGCCGTCTTCATCAACCCCCCCAGCTCCTCCCCCCATCTTCATGAACCCCCCCAGCCCCTCCCCCCGTCTTCATCACCCCCCCCCCCAGCCCCTCCCCCGTCTTCATCACCCCCCAGCCCCTCCCCCCATCTTCATGAACCCCCCCAGCCCCTCCCCCCGTCTTCATCACCCCCCCCCCCCCAGCCCCTCCCCCGTCTTCATCACCCCCCAGCCCCTCCCCCCGTCTTCATAACCCCCCCAGCCCCTCCCCCCGTCTTCATCAACCCCCCCCGCCCCTCCCCCCGTCTTCCTTAATCCCCCCCAGCCCCTCCCCCCGTCTTCATCACCACGTACTGACCAGCGGCCCACGTGTTTCTGTCTCTCGGGCCGCTCGCTAATGCTCCCAGCCTCGCGTGGCGTCGTCTCTCTGTGCTTCCTGCGCGCCGCGTTTCGTTGCCCAGTGCGTGTCGGCGGTGAACATGGACACAGCGATAACCGCGCGTGATGACGTGAGCCCACGAAACTCGATTTGCGTAAAAGTGGACCCCCGTTTGTCCCCCTACGCGTAACGGTGCCGTCACACGTGGAGGCGAGCGGAGCGCTGTTAAGTGCGCTCAAGGGAAACGGGGTTTGAGCGTCATCTCCCATTGAAAATTACAGCGGCAGGGAGGGAGGGACCCTAATTCAAAGCCTTCGCTCCAGCCGCCCAAACGGCGTGGTGCCGTAACGCAGCAGAGGAGAGCGCGCGCGCGCGCTTGTTAACGGCCAGAGCGAAAGCGCGTGCGTGCGCGTGTGCGGTCTGGATCTCATTAAGCCATTGCGTCACTCCGTTTACTCGCGGGGGCCTCCCTAATACACGGAACAAAGCCACCGCGCGCGTCCGCGCGCGGCCCCAACAAAAAGCCCCGACTGTGAATGATCGGAACGGGGATTCTTTATTTAGACCGGAGGAATCCGATGAGCTCGGAAGCTCTCCCCTGCGCAGATGTCCACCGAGAGAGGGAGCGCGATCAACACGCGATTGATTTCGCGTTCCGGCTGGTCACGTTCAGTCGCTGAGATGGGGCGATGGAATCAGCTGGTGTGCAAGGTGCTAGATGGATTGTTGATTATACATCGTAAAGGCTCGTTCGTGAGAAATGTCGACAGCTTGGAGTGGGGGGGGCATTCATCCAGCAGTGGATTGATCGTGGCTGATGAGTCGGTACTTGGGCCTGTGTCGGCTGGAGACACTGGAGTGAAGGTATCGTCGGTGCTGACGTCTGCCCCACGAGCGTTCTGTACTTCTGCAGTCCACCCCGCGTCAAATGTTCCATCTCCACTTCTTTGGTTGTCCCTGTGTGGTGACCACTCCCCCGTCCCCCCCTTCGTTGTGTCGCCCCGTGTGCGATTACACTTTTTTTGTCGAGGATCGCGCGATTCAGAGTCAGAATCTGTGTTGACCCCGGACTAATCCTATAGGAGCTGAGAAGCTCTCTCTCTCACTCACAGATTCCGCAGTGGTTTGCGCACCACGTGTTAACGGCAGTTGCCAATGATACCTGAACCCGTCTTGCATTTCTTTCTTTCACCAAACCACACGGGCCAGCGACAGAGTAAAAGTATGGCAAAGACAAAGATGCCCCGTATAGCCTTAACAGACTGTAGGGCCAAGTGTGGTTAGCTGGTAGCACCTTTGAAGGCCGGAACGGAAACACGAGGGGGTAGGGGGTAGGTGGCCAGCACCACGCCCGACCGCCTTTGCCCCCCAACTGGCGATGTTTACACACCGCTCCTGGTACTCATTTGAGGCTGAGTCGACCTAGGGGAGGCCCAGGACCGGTTCAGATAATCGTCGAACCCGGGTCTGCAGGTTCATAGCGCAGCGCGCTAACCGCTACACTACCGCTCCCCTAATAAAAAGCATGGCCCAGCCGCCCAGAAGGAACAACTCCCCCGCGGCAATGGATTGACAAAAGGGGCCGCAGATTACACGGGAGTTTACTCGGCACGAGCAACGCATTCGAATGTATCAATGCGCGTGAGTGATAATTATTTACACATAAACACTTTGGCGAACGGGTTGCGTGATGCCACTTGTCACGCTGGCAATTAATTGGCCGCGTCTCCACGGTGCGATGCCGTTGGCCGCTGTGCCACATCTACCAACCAGCGGCTGTGTTATGCGTCGAAATTCCCAATCCTGTGAAGACCTCTACAATATTCACCGTCGTGTTAAAGTACATGGCCATACGTGTGCAATGAAAGTTTAAGTCACGTGCAAAAACAAATCGATATATACTTAACTTCAATGCAATTATCACCAGCACTGCAATGTATAGTACCGCTTTGTGGGATATTTGAGCATTGGTTGTCTTCATGGAGAAACTCGCCCCCCCACCAAAGGGATTTCCACCACTCCCGACTCAGGGATGTAAACAAGAGGTGAGCACCACATCAATTGCTCATTCGAACAAGACGCCACGTGGACTTAAAACAAATCCTGAATGTGGTAAGAATAACAAAGTTTAGCTTTGTCTGCTCCTTGTATTAGCCTCACCATGTTGGAC